CTCCTGGTCTACAGGTTGTGAAGACCATGGGAAAAGCATAGTATTTGTGCTGGAATGCACTGGTCCTCACGGCACAGTCCCTCACAGCTTCCCTTGGCTAGGGAAGGGAGTTCCCTGACCCCTTCCACTTCCCAGGTGAGGTGAGGCCCCACCCTGCTTCAGCTCACCCTCTGTGGGCTGCACCCATTGTCTAACCAGTCCCAATGAGATGAGCCGGGTACCTTGGTTGGAAATGCAGAAATCACTCACCCTCTGTGTTGATCTCACGGGGAGCTACACACCGGAGCTGTTCCTATTCAGCCATCTTGCCAGCCATTGACTCTTTCTGAATTTTTAAGTGGAGCATTTAGGCCATTTAGATTCAATTTTAGTATTGAAATGTGAGGTACCATTGCATTCATCATATTCTTTGTTGCCTCCATACTTCGGTTTTGTTTTTTGTTTTTGCTTTTTAACTTGTACTTTTGTTGTATAGGTCTTGTGTGATTTATGCTTTAAAGAGGTTCCATTTTTATGTGTTTCTAGGATTTGCTTCAAGATTTCGAGCTCCTTTTAGCAGTTCTTCTAGTGGTGACTTGGTAATGGTGAATTTTCTTAGCACTTGTTTGTCCAAAATGACTGTAACTTTCCTTCATATATGATGCTTACTTTTGCTGGATACAAAATTCTTGGCTGATAATTGTTTTGTTTGAGGAGGCTGATGATAGGGCCCCAATCTATTATAGCTTGTAGGGTTTCTGCTGAGAAATTTGTTGTTAATCTGATAGGGCTTCCTTTATAGGTTACCTGGTGCTTCTGTCTTACAGCTCTTAAGATTCTTGCATTCGTCTTAACTTTGCATAACCTGATGAGAATGTGCCTAGGCGAAGATCTTATTGTGATGAATTTCCCAGGTGTTCTTTGTACTGCTTGTATTTACATGTTCTTTGTGTTTCTTGTATTTGCATGTCTAGGTGTCCAGCAAGGCCAGGTAAGTCTTCCTATTATATCCCCAAATATGTTTTCCAAGTTTTTAGTATCGTCTTCTTCCTCAGGAGTCATGATTATTCTTATATTTGGTCATTTAACATAATCCCAGACATCTTGGAGGCTTTGTTCATATTTTCTTATCCTTTTTTCTTTGTCTTTGTTGGATTGGGTTAATTTGAAGACTTTGTCTTTGAGCTCTGAATTTATCTTTTCTACTTGTTCAATTCTATTGCTGAGACTTTCCAGAGCATTATGCATTTCCAGAAGTATGTCCAAAGTGTCCTAAATTTTTTATTGTTTTTTAAATTAAGCTATCTATTTTGTTGAATATTTCACCCTTTACTTCTTGCATCATTTTTTTTTTATTTCCTTGCATTGGACTTTGCCTTTCTCTGCTCCCTCCCTGATTAGCTTAATAACTAATCTCCTGAATTATTTTTCAGGTAAATCAGGGATTTCTTCTTGGTTTGGATTAATTGCTGGTGAACTAGTGTGATTTCTAGGGGTGTGATGAGCCTTGTTTTGTCATATTACCAGGGTTGGTTTTCTGGTTCCTTCTCATTTGGGTAGACTGGTCAGAAGGAAGGTCTAGGACTAAAGGCTGTTGTTCAGATGTTTTTGTCCCACAGGATGTTCCCTTGATGTAGTACTCTGCCCCTTTTCCTGTGGATGTGGCTTCCTGAGCTGAACTGCAGTGATTGTTGCCTCTCTTCTGGGTCTTGCCACCTAGTGAGTCTACCCAGCTCTGGGCTGGTACTGGGGGTTATCTGCACAGAGTCCTGTGATGTGAACCATCTATGGGTCTCTCAGCTGTGGATACCAGTGCCTGTCCTGGTGGAGGTGGTGGAGGATGCAATGGACTCCATAGGGGTTCCTAGCTTTGGTGGTTTAATGCCCTATTTTTGTGCTAGTTGGCCTCCTGCATCAGCTGTAGTAGTGTGGAGAGGGACTAGAGGTGGGTGGGCCCCAGAACTCCAAAGATTATATGCTCTTTGTCTTCTGCTACCAAGGTGGGTAGGGAAGGGCCATCAGTTGGGGGCGGGACTAGGCATGTCTGAGCTCAGCACTTTCCTTGGGTGTGTCTTACTGAAGCTTCTCTTGGGGATGGGGGTAAGGTTCCTAGGTCACTGGAGTTGTGTACCTAGGAGGATTATGGCTGCCTCTGCTGAGTCATATGGGTTGTCAGGGAAGTGGAGGAAAGCTGTCTGTCACAGGCCTCACCCAGTACCCATGCAAACCGAAGGGCTAGTCTTACTCCCACCATGCCCCCCACCCCCCAACAGCCCCAAGTCTGTTTCCAGGCAGAGGGAAAGTCAGGCTTGAAAACTTGCCTGAGGTTTTCTACCTCCCAGCTGTGAAAGAAAAGGGCTTTAGTCCTCCCACCTGTGAAGTCTGCAAGCCAGATTCATGCCCTCCCCCAAGTTCTGGCCAATAGGCTTCTCCCCCTGTTCGAATTGTTACAAAGTTCAGACAAAGCAGTCCTCCCTGTGGAGTTTTACCCTCTGTTCCTCTGGCCACCCTCCTGATGGATCCCTGTGGTGCCAGGCAGGAATGGGCTGCTTGGGGATCCAGCAAGCTCCCAGGTCTTCTCTGCTCTTTCCTCTACCCCTGTATTTCACTTGGCTCAGCTCTCTAATTTTACTGAACTCCAGGTAAAGTTGGGAACTTCTCCCACAAACAGACTTTCAGCTTCTCCAGTTGGGGGGTGTGTTTGAGGGAGTAAGGCCCCCCTTTGCCATTTCTGCAGTTGGGGCACTCACAGTATTTGGGGTGTCTCCTGGGTCCTGCAGGAGCAGTCTGCTTCCTTCACAGGGTCTGTGGGTCCTCTCAGGATTGCTGGTCTGTTCTTACAGTCAATATCAGGCTAAAATTCACAATACAAGCCTCCACATGCTGCTCTGTCCAGAGCTGCAATCTAGTTCTGCCTTCTGTCCGCCATGATCCCTCACCTCTCTGGTTTTTCTTCTTTCTATTACTTTAAAGATGTTACTTCATTGTTTCTGACTTTAATTGTTTCTGATGAGAAGACATCAGTCATTTGTGTAACTGTTCCTCTACATAAACAATGTTTTTTCCTCTGGCTTATAAAATTTTCCTTGCTATCTTTGATTTTAGACAATTTAACCAAGATTTGCCCAAGTAAATCATACATTTTTACTTTTCAAAATCATATTTCTGATTGATTAATTTTCTTGAATCTGTGAGCTTCTTACTTTCTTCATATTTGGAAAGTTTTCAGTCATCATTGCTTCAGGCATTTTTTCTCTTCCAGTATCTCTTTCCTCTCTTGTGATATTTGATCACAAGAACAAATGATCATATGTATATTTTAAATGTTCTTGCTAATTCCATCATTTCTGTAATTTCTGGGTCTATTTGTATTGAGTGATTTTTCTCCTGGCTATGGATCACACTAAATGCTTTTTGCATGTCTAGTAAATTTTTAAATTTATGTCACATATCGTGGATACCAGACATCTGAGAAATTTGGTTTTGTTGTTTACCTATGAAGAGGTTAAGTTTTCTTCTGATGGGCAACTAATTGATGTTTAGATGATTTTGGTGTTTCTGACTTGCTTTTCAATCTTGCTAGGATTTTTGTGGAGTAGACTTTGCTCTTAAAATACATCAACTCTGTTTCCAAAGAATGGCTTTTCTGGGGTCTCTACTGAATGCCCAAGATTTGCAATGAGGTCTCTTCTCTAGCTGGTAAGAACTCAAATATCTCCCAGTGCTTTGTGAGCTCTGCCATCTCCATTGAACTCACTGTTCCCTTGTAGTTGTTCTTTCCCCAGTAGCTGTTCTTTGTCCTGCTTTCATTGTGGAATCATTCCCTGTGCATACGCAGGTTTATATTACACTGAGGCAACTTCTATGTGCATGACTGTAGCTCTTTATCTCCACAAATTCTTTCTTATTATTACCAAGCATAGAAAATCCCAGCTGCCTTTGTAATTCCAAATTCTAGTGTCTCTCAGTTCATCAAGACTGCTGTGGTCTGCTTGGGCTCCATCTCTTTGCCCTTCAATCCATGACGAAATACAGAATACTTATGGAGTTGATCACATTTGTTTCCTGTTCTAAATTATCTCAATACACTACTGTCTGTTGTGCAACATGTGAAAACAGTATTTTCATATATTTTATAGTCATTTGCTTCCAAAAGACTGTTATGCTTACACCTGCTTTTTGTCCACATACCTGTCCCTTTTACTTTTCAGCCTTTATGTACTTTCTGACTCTCATCTGCCTTCCTGCTTTTGCTCTTCATGTCCTGGTAACACATGTCCTTTCAGACCACTGGTGCTTCAGACCCAGTGTGTTTATACAGGTATGTATGTGTGCATATATATATGGGTATATATACACACACATATATATATATTTATGTGTAAATGAATATTCAGTTATATACTTGAATATTTATATATAAATATTTAAAATGTTATATTAAAAATATATAAAAATAGACATACTTAGTGAAACAATATAATTTTTAATAAAATATTTAAAATATATAAATTTATACAAAAATTTAAATATAAAATTTGTACATAAGTATATAAATATTCAGACATATATATAAATATTCAGGTGTGTGTGTGTATATATCTATATGTCTTAATTTTTTTTTTACTTATTACCCGTGACAAAAATGGCAAACAAACCTTTGGGAATTGAAGTTTAGAATGACAAAATTGCATGGGTGAAAGATGACATTGATTTTTAGTGGGCATTGCAGAATGGTACTGTATTTAAGCATGTGGTCATTTGATCTTCTGAGCTTTACATGAATGTGACTTCACCACCTCCGTATATTCTGCTCCTTCCATAAAACTATTAGGAAATACACCAGGCCTAAAATTTCTCTTCTCTTAGACTCTTTGCTCAAAAGCAAAGGTCCTGAGACATTTTGCCAAAATGTGAATCTAAGAGAAATTTGTCCCTAGGAAGTGAACCTAAAGCATGGCTCTTCTAACCAATAATTGAGTTGGCTGTTGCTCCTCTTATGGTTTTAATCAAATACATACGCATTTGGGTAGTTTTCTGGGGTCCTCTGATGCCAGTGTGGTATCATAGATGACCAAGATTGACAGTTCCTTCCTGTGACAGTGGTGGAGGATGTGCCTCGATAACTCTGTCCATCACCATGGTAGCAATCCTGGACCACAGGACTTTTCTCAGGTGGTGCTGAAAATAAAATAAAAGACATCATAGTAATTGCATGAGCAGAGAAACATGGGAGGCAATTTATGTCACAAACTGGACAGTAGCCTCTGAAAATTATTACTATTCTTTTTTCTACTAGTAGCAAAAGGATGTGAAAAGACTCAATAGAGTCATAGTATTCTAGAATTTTAATAAGTTCAAATAAACATTATTTTTAAATCTAAAGATAAAGAACAGAGCAGAATGCTGGACACTGGAAATTACATTCATGTGCAGCTCCATCCTATGAATCTCTACTGGGTTTTCATGAAAACCACAGGGCAGAAGACCAGAATGCAATGCATTCCTTGGTGTAGGCTGTAGGAGGTGACTGGTGGTCAGTCAGGAGCAGGCATGAGACCCTTCCACATTTCCCTAGACCATTGCTCATACCAAGGCAAAAGCCTTAACCTTCTGAATATTTGGGCAGGAAATCATCCTGCATTTAGGAGTGCAGGCAAAGACTCATTGTTTCTCAAGGAGGGTTAGAGACAAACAACTTATTCCCTTGGAGGAGAGACAGGGAGTCTTCTGGTGCTCAGAATCCTGAATTGCAACAAAGCAGAATTCTCTTCCTCTTCTCCTGTAGACTCACTGCCGACGCAAGTTTCATGAGAAGAAGAGGCAAGAACACCTAGAAATCTCTAACTTCAAAGCCATGTGAACAGGGCCTGTGAAAGACTGAGGTAGGCCAGGGAGAGAGAGCATTTGTTGGCTACCTCCTGCTGTGTAGCCCCAGGACAATTAAAAATAATGCAGTCTCCTTAGGTTTCTATAGGATATCATACTGAAAGGCAACATTCTTAAGAGATTGCGAACTGTGGATTGCAATGAAAAAGGTCTATTTTAAATCACCGGAAAGGCTTATTGGCTTGGAAATCTTCACATATTTGGCAGGTTGTTAGAATATCCATTTTGGCTAGGACACTGAAATGACCCACTTAATAACCAGGGGAGTGGTAAGTACAGTGCCCTGGAGGGTCTGTGCGCTTCCTAAAGACACTGTGCCCTTCCTAAAGACACTGCCTCCTCACAGCGTGCCAAAAATCACAGCTCTGGATCCCCCAGAGAGGGCGCTGAGGCTTTCTTCCACATAGCAGACCCTCAACCAACCCTCCAGTGTACCACTGAAGGCGTCTGCATCAGTAAGATTTTCCATGGTTTTTCATCCCACTGTACAGATGTCTAATCACAAACGTCTTACCTTGTTCAGACGGAGCCTCTGTGCTTGGGACCGGGACCACCGTGGGAGTTGTGAGGACACTTGATTCTGTCACTGGACATTGTGTCAGGTTGCAGTACTCCCACCTGACTCTGGGATCCATGGTGTAACACCAAGGGCGAATCTCAGCATCTGGATTTCTGCAGTAGTTCCTGGTCAGGCCACTGGAAATTTCAAAACAATACAGGTTACCAGAGATGGGAGAAGATTCAAGAGCACTTAGCGCCCTCTACGTTTTGCCGTAACAAAGTGTTAGCAAATACCTTTGAAATATTCCCATTATACATACAATAATATTGCCATAAGCACAAATGGTCTTCAACTTCAACTTATAAACAAGTGTGGACACATCACAGATTATAATTTTTATTTTAAAACATCAAAAGTAGTATATGCTCTCTATAAAAACTGAGATAATATATGTCTGTACAAGAAAGGATCAGAATATCCTCCTTTCACCTTCTGCCAAATACTTTCCTCCAGAATAAATGACGTAGATTTTGAAGTATATATCTTAGAATTTTTAAATGCACATACAAAGGTATCTCCACCTGTCTAGCTCTTTGTATCTCTCTCTATAGGACTATATAGTAATGGGTAAGTTGGAACTCAAATACATTTCCCCAAGGAAGAAAGGACATCCAAGATTATATAATTCCCATGCTAGCCCCCTTGCTCTATTTACTCATAGTGTAGCATAAATGCTCTACATTTGCAATATAAAATAATCATGAAGATAGTATTACTATAAATACTGTATCTGGTAGAGCAGGAGGTTTGGCTCTACAAGACTTATAAAAGCTTCCCTGGAAAACTAGCTCCCAGGTAGGATGTTGCTTCTCTAGGATTGGTTCATGGGAAGGACCTCCTCTCCTGCTCTCAGTCCATCCTCTGCTGGCTGCAGCCACTGTGGTACTGAAGGAATGGGTGATGAGTTGAAAGAACAGCGGGACCCAAGGCATAAAGGGAGACAGCTAGGTAGACTATGGGATCTGAAGGGGCCAAGTGGCTATGGAGGAGTCAGAAAACAATGCAGTAAGAGGCACAACAGGTGAAGACCCTAGACTGGGGGAATCTTGGAGAATGCATTCCCCCTTATGCCACCCAAGAACGTTGCTCCAACCTCTCAGAATCCTCATATTATTTTTCTTCTACTTACATAGCATTCTTTCACATCTTTTATTACACAATCCTGCTGATAAAACATTCTTTTATTTGTTCTTTGTTTTTAGGATGACAGAATATGTACTTACATAATATTCATTTTCAGTGATCGCTTGCTGTGCACAGCGTTTAAGTTTGCTATTTTTATTTTCCTTCTTATCACTCTAAAGGTGTTATTCCATTGTTTCTGACTTGATCTTTTTTTTTCTTCTTAGTGTGTTATTTCATTGTTTCTGACCTGAATTTTTCTTCTTCTTACCACTCTACAGGTGTTATTTCATTGTTTCTGATATGATCTTGTTTTCCTTCTTACTACACTACATGTGATATTTTGTTGTTTCTGATTTGATCTTTTTTTCTTCTTACCACTCTAAAGTTGTTATTCTATTGTTTCTGATTTGTGTTGTTTCTGATGAGAAGGCATCAGTCATTTGTGTCACCGTTACTCTATGTAAATGTATGCTTTTTTCCTCAGGCTTCAAATAAGATTTTACTGTCTATCTTTGATTATGGACAATTTAATTATAATGTGTCCAACTAAATCATACAGTTTTACTTTTAAAAATCCTATATCTGATCCATTGAGCTTCTTGACTATGTGAGTTTATCATATTTTCCATATTTAGAAAGTCATCAGCCATCACTGCTTCAAGTATTTTTTTCTGTTCCAACATCTCTTTCCCCTCCTCTGTGACTTGCTTTAAACATATATTAAATATTTTGATATTTTCATAAATGTCCTTGAGGCTCTGCTTATTTATCTTCTCAGGCTTTGTACAAGTGTGCTGTGGTTCGTACCACCCTAATATTTTCTAGTTAGTTTTATCATCTGTACTATCTAGTATGATTATAAGGCCATCCAGTGATTTTCTCATTAAAGGGATGTCTCTTTTTTTAGTTCTTCACTTCCATTTGGTCCTTTTACAATTTTTCTTTCTGTTTATATTATCCATTTATTTCTTGTTCATGCTTTCTTTAAATCCTTGAACACAATTATGATACATACATTTTAAATCTCCTTGCCAATTCTGTTATTTTTATCATTTCGGGGTCTATTTGTATCGACTGATTTTTCTCCTGGTTATAGGTAACACTAAATGCTTTTTGTATGTTCAGCAAATTTTTAAATGTATGTAACACATTGTGGATACCATATAATTGAGAGATTTAATGTTGTTTACCTCTGAAGAGATTTTCTTCTGATGGGCAATTAATTTACTTGGAGATCACTTGGATCTTTTTAGACTTGGTTTCTAAGCTTTTCTAGGGTGTTTCCAGAGTAGACTTTATTCTAGGAATGCATTAATTCTACTCCTGAAGTATGGCTTTTTTGGGGTCTCTGCTGAATGCCCAAGATGTTCAATGAGGTGTCTCTCCTTAGGCTGGTCAGAGCTCAAATACCTCCCAGTGCTATATGAGCTCTGGCATCTTCATTGAGGTCACTGTTCCCCTGCAGTTGTTCTTTCCCCAGTAGCTGCTCTTTATGCTCCTTTCTCTCTGGAACATCTTTCTGTGCATACACAGCTTTCTATTTAGCCAGACACTCGAGGAGACTTCTGTGTGTATTCCTGGAGCTCCTTTTCTCCACAAATACTTTCTCATTATTACTTAACCTAGAAAATCTCAGTTTTATTAGTTACCGAAACTCCAGTCTCTCTTCCCAGTTTAGCAAGACTGCTGTGGAATGCTTTGGTTAAAACTCTTTGCCCTTAAGTGTAGGAAGAGTAATTATGGGGTTGATCTTATTTGTTTCCCTTTCTAAATTATCTCAGGTTGTACTGCCTGCTGTCTAACATGTGCAAACAGTTTTTCCATATTGTTCATACTCACTTATGGCAAGAGGCCAGTTCTTGTCAGACATGCATTTTTTGTCCATGTACCTGCCCATTTTAATCACTGCAACTGTTTACTTCCTGACTTTCATCTGCATTCCTGCTTTTATTCTTCCTGACAACCCATATCCCTTCAGAAAAGTGGTGCTTAGAACCCAGTGTGTTCATACAGGTGAGTACTCATACATAAATATAGGCACTAATTACTACTTCTTCTTCACTTTTTTTTTAAGATTGAGTCTTGCTCTGTCACCCAGGCTGGAGTGCAGTGGCATGCTCTCAGCTCACAGCAAACTCTGAATCCCAGGCTCAAGTGATTCTCCTGCCTCAGCCTTGCAAGTAGCTGGAATTGTAGGTACCCACCACCATGACGAGCTAATTTTTGTAGTTTTGGTAGAGATGGGGTTTTGCCATGTTGGCCAGGCTGGTCTCGAACTCCTGACCTCTGGTGATCTGCTCGCCTTGGCCTCCCAAAGTGCTGGGATTACAGGCCTGAACCATTGCACCCAGCCTGAATTTGATACTTCTGATCCATGTCAAAAATGGCAAACACAAACTTCACTTCAGGGATGAAGGATAGAATGATAGAATTGCATAGTGGAAAGACTACACGGATCTTTAGTGGGCACTGTGGAATGATACTGTGTCTAAGCATTTGGTCATTTGATCTCCTTAGCTTTACATTAATGAGACTTCACCACCTCCATATATCCTGCTGCTTCCATCAAACTGTTATGAAATATAACAATCCTAAAATTTCTCTTCATTCAGACTCTTTGCTCAAAAGGAAGGTTCCTGAGATGTTTTGCTACAAACTCTGAGTCTATGAGAAATTGAGACTTAGGAAGTAAGTTTGTAGCATGGGCCAGCTAAGAGAAATTTTAGTTGACTGTTGTTCCTTTTATGGCTAACATGATAGACATACGCATTTGGATAGTATAATGGGATCCTCCGATGCCAATGTGGTGTCATAGACAACCAAGACTGACATGTTCTTCCCGTGATAGTGGTGGAGAATGTGCCTCGATAACTCTGTCCATCACCTTGGTAGCAGTCCTGGACCCCAAGGCTGTTTTCAGTTGGTGCTGAAATTAAAAGAGAAAATCAAGCTCAGCATTGCCTAGAAAAGAGAAACATGTGAAAAAAAATTATGACACACAAAGTGGAATAATCTGAGGATTAACAATTTACACTCTTCTATATTAGTATGCAAATTGAAATGTAGAATAAAGATTCTATAAATTTAATAAGTAGTCATAAATATTTCAATTCAACCCTGGGAAACTAAAAAAGAAACAAACAAAAAACAGATCAGAGTGCCTATACTTCAAAATTACACTCATGTGATGGTCTTTTGCTTACACCTCTTCTGGGTGTTCGTGAGAACAAGGCAGGAAATCAGGGTGCCATGCATCAGGCTGTGCAGGCTGTAGGTGGTGATTGACTGTCAGTGGGGGGTGTACGTGAAACCCTTGCACATTTTCCTAGACCACTGCTCCTCCAAAGCAAAAGCCTTCAGATTCTGGGGTATGGAGCAGAAAAAGATCTTGCATCTAGGACTTGCAGGTAAAGACACAATGCCTCTCAGGGAGGAGGAGTACAGGCCAAAATTTTATAGCGTAGGAGGGGAGACAGGGAATCTTGGGCCCAGGATCCCTCATGACAACAAAGCTGACATCCACTACTCTTCTTATCAAAAAACAATGGAGATACATGTTCCATGAGAAGGAGGGATGAGAACACTGAGAAATCCCTTCCCTCAAATCCTAGGTGTGCACAGCCTGCCCAAGATGAAAGTAGGCTTGGGAGATAAAGAATTCGGTGGCTATGTATTGCTTCAAAGACTCGGGACAATATGGATCTAATGAAGTCATGTTAAGTTTCTCAAGAACAACAGCCTCAAACGTGACATTCCTCCAAAATGGTAAAGCTGAAGACTGCAATAAACACTGCCTGCTTGAAGAAAGGGCTGCACAGGCTTAGGAACTTGGTAAATCATCACAAATTTGGCAGGATGTTAGAATATCCATCTTGGCTAGGACACTAATAACAGGGGAGTGGTAAGTCCAGTGCCCTAGAGGGTCTATGCCCCTTTTAAAGACACCATCCCTCACATGGCACTCAACATCACAACATCACAACTCTGGTTACCCCAGAGAAGGCACTGAAGCTTTCTACTCATTGGCTGCCCACGACTTCACCTTTGACTTCCTGTGCAGCATGGAAGGCTTCTGCATCACAAAGATTTTGCAACTCTTTTTATCCCAATGTCCGAAGGTATGGTTGTCTGACTGCAGACTTCTTACCTTCTTCAGAAGGAACCTCTCTGCTTGGAACTGGGACCACCGTGGGAGTTGCGAGGACACTTGATTCCGTCACCACACATTGTGTCAGGTTGCAGTATTCCCATCTGACTCTGGGATCCATGGTATAACACCAAGGGCGAATCTCAGCATCTGGATTCCTGCAGTAGTTCCTGGTCAGGCCACTGCAAATTCCAAAACAATACAGGTCACCAGGGATTGGAGAAGAAACAACGCCACCTGACACCCTTTATGTTTTGTTGTACCAAAGTGTTAAGCGAATTTGAAATATTCTCACTAAAAGTCCCAAAACACTCACAAATGGTCCTCAACTTCTAAACAACTGTGAACATTTCAAAGACAGATTATTATTCTTATTGTAACACATTCAAAGTAATCTATTGTTTATAAGAAAACTGAGAGAAAACATCAATGTGTACAAGAAAGGGTCAGAATACCATCCTTCCACCTTCTGCCAAATACATTCCTCTGGAGTAACTGAGAGGGATTTTGAAGTGTGTCTTGTAGATTGTTTTATGCACATACAAATGTTTCTCAATCAGGCTTTCTGTATGTCTCTCTATAAAACTGCATGATCTATTCAGTGTTTGATTTGCTGGTTTGTTGTTTACCTAAGGAATCCATCCACATGATCTACATTCCTGAATTTATTTACATACAGTCGATCTCAATATCTACTTCTCAGCTTTCAGACCTGGAGGATGCTGTAGCAATGGCGTCTCTCCCCTGTTACTCCTGATGGTGATGGATATGCTCCCTCCTTGTCCTGTCATCTGTTTAGCCAGATTTTGGCCAATCATATGGATCTTTTCAAAGAACGTAACTTTCTGTTTCACGGATTTACTCCTTTGTTGGTCTATTTTCTTGTCCACTGAATGTCATTGGTTTGGACTATTTCCTTCTATCCACTTTCCTTGTGTCTTATTTGCTTTTCCTTGCCTAGATATGTCATCTGGGTCTTATTAAGTTGTGGTCTTAGATCAACAGCTGTCAAAGCTTTTGTTCATAGGAACTCCGCTTTTTACTTCTTAGCTTTGAATTGGGGTGATTTAACTATGATGTATTCCAGTAAATCATAGAGTTTTGCTCTTTAAAATTCTATACCTGAGTCATTTAGCTTCTTGACTATGAGTTTCTTGTTTTCTGGATATTTGGCATGTTGTGAGCTATCATCACTTCAAGTATAATTTCTGTCACAATATATTTTTCTTCTCCTTCTGTGACTTGCTTAAAACATATATTAAATGTGTGGATTTTTCCTAGATGCCCTTGAGGCTCTGCTGATTAATAGGTTCAGTCTTTGTGTGTGTGTGTGTGTGTGTGTGTGTGTGTGTGTGTTTGTGTGCCTGTTGGTCTGCCGGTCTATCCTGTGGTCTATGTAGCTCCTATTGAATTATTTTCTAGGTCACCTTTCCTACCGTAATATCTAAAGTGACGATAAGGTCATCCAGTGAGTTCTTCATTAGATGTGTACCTTTTCTCTGTTCTTTAATTTTCATTTGGCTTTTCAATTCTTTTCTTTTCTCTTGCTATTCTGCTTTTGTTTCTCTCATGGTCAGCTTTTGCTGACATTTTCCTGAAACACAGTTCACAGAGATGCATTTTAAATGTTCTCACCAATGTTATCAATTCTATCATTTCTGGGCCTGTTTGTGGTGAGTGGTTTTTCTCCCAGTTATGTATCACAGTGAAAGCTTCTTGTGTTTCTATTAAATTTTTAAATAGAAGTCATGCAATGGAAATGCCATATAACTGAGCAACTTGTATTTGTCCCTTGCCTCTAAGCGGGGGTTGAGTTTTTGTCTTGTGGAATGCAGTTAATTTACTTGGAGATCAATTGGATCCTTTTAGACTGGCTTGGAAGAAGGATTGCTGGAGTGTTTCTGGAGTCACCTTGACTCTAGGAATAAGATGATCCCAATCCCAAAGTACAGCTTTCTTTGGTCTCTACTGAAAGCCCAAAATGTAGTGAGGTGTTCTCCTCTGAGTGGTCAGAATTCAAACATCCCCCAGTGCTATGTGAGCTCTGTCATCTCCATTGAGCTCACTGTTCCCCTGCAATTGTTCTTTCCCAAGTAGCTTTTCTTTATTGTTCTTTCTTTGTGGAAATTCTCCCTGTGCATACGCAGCTTTGTGTTTAGCCAAAGGCTTGAGGAGACTTCTGTGTATATTCCCGGAGCTCCTTTCCACCACAAACTCCTTCTCATTCTTAGCCAGCCTAGAACATGTTAGATGCCTGAGGCATCGCAGACTCCAGTCTCTCTCCTCAGTTAAGCAAGACTACTGTGGTCAGCTGGGCTCCATCTGCTTGTCCTGCAATCCAACACTGTGTCCAGGAAGGAAGACAGGCGAATGATGGGGTTGATCTCCTTTGATTCCCTTTCTCAGTTCTCTCATGCCTACCATATCTGTTGTCCAACCTGTGAAAACAGTTTTCTCATGTATTTGATAGTCCTTCATGGAGGAAAGGCTGGCATAGCTAGACCTGGGTTTCTGTCCATCTTCCTGAATGTGTAACTCTTCAGCATCTCTACACTTCCTGACTCTCAGCTGCCGTCCTACTTTTGCTCCTCATGTGCTGGCAACACATAGATTTTCAGACACCTTGTTCTCACAACCCAGTGTGTTTGTACAGGTTAGAGGAGAAAGTGATTGGAAGATCTCAATGTCAATATAGATATCCTTCACTTGTTACCCAAGACAAACATGGCAAACACAACCCTCACTCTAGGGCTTGGAGATTAGAATGACAGAATTCCCTGGATAAACTATTGCACTGGTCTTTAGTGGGCATTGTAGAACGGTGCTATTTCTAAGCACATGGTCATATGCTCTTCTGAGCTTTCTATTCATGAGACCTCACCACCTCCAAATATCCTCCTGCTTCTGTCAGCTATGAGAAAAAACAGCTGGCCTAACATTTCTCTCCTTTCAGACCCTGTGCCCAAAGCAAGAAGCCTGAGACATTCTATCCAACATTCTGGGTCTGAGAGAAATTTGGTCATAAGAAGTTAGCTGGAAGCATGTCTCTTCCAGGAGAAATTTAAGTGGGCGGCCGTTTCTCTTGGGAGAAAACTCAAAGACGTACCCATTTGGGTAGTATTCTGTGGTCCTCTGATGCCAGTGTGGTGTCATAGAGGACCAAGACTGACATGTCCTTCCTGTGACAGTGGTGGAGAATGAACCTCGATAACTCTGTCCATCACCATGGTAGCAGTCCTGGACCCCGGGGCTTTGCTCCATTGGTGCTGAAATTCAAAGAGGAGAAATCAAGTTGAGTAATTTCCAGGACACAGAAGCATGAGAAAAAAATCTATGACAGAAGCAGGACAGTCATCTCTGAAAATGACGACCATGCTTTGTTCTATATTAGGAGGCGGATGGACGTGCCAATAACAAAACTCAAAGATCCATAGCATTCTGGAACTTCAATGAGTTTTTAGAAAGATTTTCTTTAAAACCTGGGCACCAAAGGACAGATCAGAGTGCCTATCAGTCAAAATTGCACTCACGTGCATGTTCTTTGGCAAAGATCTCTTTGAGGTGTTCCTGAGAACAAGGCAGGAGACCAGAGTGCCATGCATCAGGCTGTGCAGGCTGTAGGTGGTGATTGTCACTGGGGGCAGACATGAAACCGTCGCACATTTCCCCAGACCACTGATTCTCCAAAGCCAAAGCCTTCAGCTGCTGGAAGATGGGGCAGGAAGCAGTCCTGCATCTAGGACTTGCAGGCAAAGACAGATTGTCTCTCAGAGAGGGGTACTGGCCAAAATTTTATTCCCTTGGAGGGAAGGCAGGAAATATTGGGCCCAGGATCCTGCATTGCAACGAAGTAGACATCCACTACTCTTCTTCACAAAGAGCAACATAGATACGTGTTCCATGAGAAGGAGGGGCAAGAACATAAGAGATCCCTTCCATCAAAGCCTAGATGTGCAGCACCTGCCTAAGATGAAGGTAGACAGGGAAATGGAGCATTTGCTGGCTATGTGCTGCTACCTAGACCCAGGAGGATATGGAACTAAGTATATTCATATTAGGTTTCTCAAGGTTGGCAGACTCAAAAACCACATTCCTCTGAAACTGCAAAGCTGAAGTTTGCAATAAACACTGCCTACTTGAAGAAATACCAGGAAAGGCTCATGATGAGCTTGGTAAATCATCACAAATTTGGCAGGGTGTTAGAATATCCATTTTCACTAGGACACTGAAATGATCTGATGAATAACCAGGGGAGTGGTAAGTCCAGTGCCCTAGAAGGTCTGCACACTTCCTAAAGACACCACCCTGTCATGGGGTGCCAAAAATCACAGCTCTGGTTCCCCCAGAGAAGGCGCTGAGGCTTCCTTCTCATTGGCTGACCCTGAGTCCACATTTGAATTCTTGTGCAGCATGGAAGGCTACTGTATCACTAAGATTTTGCAACTCTTTTGATCCCAACGTCCGAGGGTGTGGTTGTCTGGCCAGAGACTTCTTACCTTGTTCAGAAACAGCCATGGACGTTGCGAGGACACTTGATTCTGTCACTGGACATTGTGTCAGGTTGCAGTACTCCCACCTGACACTGGGATCCATGGTATAACACCAAGGGCGAATTTCAGCATCTGGATTCCTGCAGTAGTTCCTGGTCAGGCCACTGCAAATTATAAAACAATACAGGTCACCAGAGATGGGGGAAGATACAAGGGCACCAGGCACCCTTTACATTTTGTTGTAACAAAGTGTTAAAAAGCAACTCTGAAATATTCTCCCTAAAGGTCCCATAACAATCACAAATGGTCCTCAATTTCTAAACAACTGTGAACATTTCAAAGACAGATCATTATTCTTATTGTAACACATCCAAAGTCATCTATACTCCATTAGAAAACCGAGAGACGTACTCAAAGACGTACCCATTGATCAATGTGCATCAATGTGTACAAGGAAGGATCAGAATACCCTCCTTCCACCTTCTGCAAAACACATTCCTTTGGATTAACTAAGAGATTTTGAAGTGTGCCTTGTAGATTGTTGTATGCACATACAAATATTTCTCTGTCTGGCTATCTGAATGTCTTTCTGTAGGAGTACACAATCTATTCAGTGTCTGGTTTGCTGATTTGCTGTTTACCTAAGGAATTCATCCACATGATCTACATTCATGAATTTATTCTCATATAGTTTTTCTCAATATCTTCTTGTCAGCTTTCAGACCTGGAGTATGGTATAGCAATGGCGCCTCTCCCCTGTTACTCCTGATGGTGATGGTTGTGCTCCCTCTTTGGTCTGTCGCCTGTTTAGCCAGACTGTGGTCAATCATATGGTTCTTTTCAAAGAACCAACTTTCTGTTTCATGGATTTACTCCCTTGTTGGTCTATTTTCTTGTTCACTGAATGTCATTGGTTTGGATTATTTCCTTCCATCCTCTTTCCTTGGGTCTTATTTGCTTTTCCTTGCCTAGATATTTAAGTTGTGGTCTTAGATCAACTGTCAAAATGTTTGTTCACAGGAACCCCCTTTTTTTTTCTTCTTAGCTTTGAAATCAGACAATTTAACTATGATGTATCCCAGTAAATCAGAGTTTTGCTCTTTAAAAATCTATACCTGAGTTATTGAGCTTCATGACTCTGTGAGTTTCTCGTTTTCTGTATGTTTGGAAATTTGTCAGCCATCACAGATTCAAGTATAATTTCTATCACAACATCTTTTTCCTCTCCTTCTGTGACTAGTCTAACAAATATATTAAATGTGTGGATGTTTTCATAGATGTCCTTCAGGCTCCATTGATTAATTGGTTCAGTCATTGTGTGTATGTGTATTTGTGTCTGTCTTGTGATTTGTCTAGCTTTCCTTGAATAATTTTCTCATTCACTTTTCCTACCATAATGTCTAAAGTGATGATAAGGCCATCCAGTGAATTCCTAATTACAGTATACCTTTTCTCAGTTTTTAAACTTCCATTCGGCTCTTCAATTCTTTTTTTTTTTTCTGACATTATGCATTCGTTTCTCTCATGGTCAGCTTTTGCTGACATTTTCCTGAAATACAGTTCTCAGAGGTATATTTTAAATGTTCTTGCCAATGCCATATTTCCTAATATTTCTGGGTCTATTTGTGTTGAGTGATTTTTCTCCCAGTTATGGATCACAGTGAAAACTTCTTTTGTGTCTAGTAAATTTTTAAATGGATGTTGCACACTGGGGATGTCATATAACTGAGCAACTTGTATTCGTTCCTAATACAATAGGGTTGTTATATTACCTCTAAGGAGGGTTGAATTTACTTTCTTCTGGAAAGCAGTTAATTTACTTAGAAATAATTTGGATCCTTTTAGACTGGCTTGGAAGAAGAGTTGCTGGAGTGTTTCTGGAATCACCTTGTTTCTAGGAATCTGAAGATCTTACTCCCAAAATATGGCTTTATTTGACTTCTACTGAATGCCCAAGATGTTCATTGAGGTGTCTCTCCTCTGAGTGGCCAGAACTCAAATATCTTCCAGTGCTATGTGAGCTCTGGCATCTCCATTGAGCTCACTGTTCCCTTGAAGTTTTTCTTTTCCTATTAGCTTTTCTTTATTGTTCTGTCTTTGTGAAAACTCTCCCTGTGCATACACAGCTTTGTATTTAGTCAAAGCCTTGAGAAGACTTCTGTGCGTATTCTTGGAACTCCTTTCCTCCACAAATCCCTTCTCATTCTTAGCCAGCCTAGAACATGTCAGATGCCTGAGGCATCACAAACTCCAGTCTCTCTCCTCAATTAAGCAAGACTGCTGTGGTCAGCTGGGCTCCATCTACTTGCCCTTCAAGGGTCTCCAGGAAGGATACCAGGGACATGGTATGGTTGATCTCCTTTGATTCCCTTTCTCAGTTCTCTCAGGCCTATCATATCTGTTGTCCAACCTATGAAAACACTTTTCCCATGTATTTGTTAATCCTTCAGGCAGAAACATTGACATGGTCAGAACTGGGTTTCTGTCCATCTTCCTGCATGTGTAACTCTTCAGAATCTTTATACTTCCTGATTCTCAGCTGCCTTCCTACATTTGCTCCTCATGTGCTGGCAACACATAGCTCTTCAGATACCTTGTTCTCAGAACCCAGTGTGTTTGTACAGGTTAGAAGAGAAAGTGATAGGAAGATCTGGATGTTGACATAGATATCCTTTACTTGTTGCCCAAGATGAACATGGCTAACATAACCTTCACTTCAGGGCTTGGAGATTAGAATGACAGAAATCCCTGGTTAAACTATAGAATTGATCTTTAGTGGGCATTGCAGAACGGTGCTATTTCTAAGCACGTGACCATATGTTCTCCTGAGCTTTCTATTCATGAGACCTCACCACCTTCAAATATCTTCCTGCCTCAGTCAACTATGAGAAAAGAGAGCTAGCCTGACATTTCTCTCCTTCCAGACACTGTGCCTGAAGAAAGAAGCCAGAGACATTCTACCCAATATTCCAGATCTGAGATAAATTTGTCATAAGAAGTTAGTTGGAAGCATGGCCCTTCCAAGAGAAATGTAAGGGGGCTGCTGTCTCTCTTTGAAGAAAACTCAAGGACGTACCCATTTGGATAATATTCTGTTGTCCTCTGATGCCAGTGTGGTGTCATAGAGGACCAAGACTGACATGTCCTTCCTGTGACAGTGGTGGAGAATGAGCCTCGATAACTCTGTCCATCACCATGGTAGCAGTCCTGGACCTCGGGACTTTGCTCCGTTGGTGCTGAAATTCAAAGAGGAGAAATCAAGCTGAGTAATTTCTAGAACACAGAAGCAAGAGAAGAAATCTGTGACTGACACAGGACCATTGTCTCTGAGAAAGACTACCATACTCTGTTCTGAACTAGCAGGTAGATGGACATACCAATAAAACTCAAAGATTCATAGCATTGTAGAACTTTAATGAGCTCTTAGAAAGATTTCCTTTAAAACATGGGCACCAAAGGAAAGATCAGAGTGCCTATCAGTCAAAACTGCACTCATGTGCCTACTCTTTAGCATAGACATATTCTGGGTGTTCCTGAGAATAAGGCAGGAGACCAGACTGCTATGCATCAGGCTGTGCAGGCTGTAGGTGGTGATTGACTGTCAGTGGGGGCAAATATGAAACCGTCACACATTTCCCTAGACTGCTAATGCTCCAGAGCCAAAGCCTTCAGCTTCTTGAAGATGGGGCAGGAAGCGGTCCTGCATCTAGGACTTGTAGGCGAAGACACATTGTCTCTCAGAGAGGGGTACTGGCCAAAATTTTATTCACTTGGAGGGAGGGGGTATCTTTGGCCCAGGGTTCTGCATTGCAACAAAGTAGACATCCGCTACTCTTCTTCTCAAAGACCAACACAGATATATGTTCCATGAGAAGGAGGGGCAAGAACAGTGAGCGATCCCTCCCATCAAAGCCTAGTTGTGTAGGACCTGCCTAAGATGGAGGTACGCCAGAACGATGGAGCATTTGTTGGCTATGTACTTCTACCTGGACCTAGAAGTATATGGAACTAAGAAAAGACTTATTAGGTTCCTCAAGGATGACAGACTCAAAAACCACATTCCTCTAAAACTGCAAAGCCGAAGATGCAATGAACACTGCCTACTTGAAGAAATATCAGGAAAGGTTTATCATGAGCTTGACAAATCTTCACAAATTTGGCAAAATGTTAGAATATCCTTTTGGCTAGGACACTAAAATGATCTGATGAATAACCAGGGGAGTGGTAAGTCTGGTGCCCTAGAGGGCCTGCACCCTTCCTAAAGACACCACCCTCTCACAGGATATTAAACATCACAGCTCTGGTTCTCCCAGAGAAGGCGCTGAGTGTTCCTTCCCAGTGGCTGACCCTGAGTCCACATTCTACTTGGAATTGTGTGAGCATGGAAGGCTTCTATATCACTAAGATTTTGCAATTCTTTTCATCCCAACGTCCTAGGGTGTGGTTGTCTAGCCACAGACTTCCTACCTTCTTCAGAAGAAGCCTCTGTGCTTGGATCTGGGACCACTGTGAGAGTTTCAAGGACACTTGATTCTGTCACCAGACATTGTGTCAGGTTGCAGTACTCCCACCTGACACTGGGATCCATGGTATAACACCAAGGGCGAATCTCAGCATCTGGATTCCTGCAGTAGTTCCTGGTCAGGCCACTGCAAATTACAAAACAATACAGGTCATCAGAGATGGGAGAAGATACAGAGGCATCCAGTACTCTCTAAGTTTTGCTATAACAAAGTGTAAAAAAGCAATTTTGAAATATTTTCACTAAAGGTCCGATAATATGCACAAACGGTCCTCAACTTCTAAACAACTGTGAACATCTCAAAGATAAATTATCATTCATATTGTAACACATCCAAAGTCATCTATGCTCCATAAGAAAATTGAGAGTAAACATCAATGTGTACAAGAGAGGATCAGAATACCCTCCTTCCACCTTCTATGAAATACGTTCCTCCAGATTAACTGAGATTGATTTTGAAGTGTGTCTTGTAGATTTTTTTATGCACATACAAATATTTCTCTGTCAGCCTCTCTGTATGTCTCTATAGGACTACACAATCTATTCAGCATCTGGTTTGCTGACTTGTTGTCTTCCTCAGGAATTGGTCCACATGATTAACGTTCCTGAATTTATTCACCTACAGTTGTTCTCAAAATCTTCTTTTCAGCTTTCAGACCTGGAAGATGCTATACCAGTGGCGCCTCTCCCCTGTTACTCCAGATGGTAATGGTTGTGCTCCCTCATTGGTCTGTCATCTGTTTAGCCAGACTTTGGTCAATCATATGGATCTTTTCAAAGTATCAACTTTCTGTTTCATGGGTTTACTCCCTTGTTGATCTCTTTTCTTGTTCACTGAATGTCATTGGTTTGGACTACTTCTTTCCATCAGCTTTCCTTGGCTCTTATTTGCTTTTTTCTTTCTCTCTCTTTTTTTTTTTTTTTTTTTTTTTTTTGTCTAGATATTTAAGCTGTGGTCTTATATCAACACCTGTCAAAGTCTTTGTTCATAGGGGATTCCCAAGAGCTTTTCTTTTTCAAAACACAAGATGAATATTGTATGAGAAACCAACACTGAGAATTTTTTAACACACAAAGTCAACAACCGCCCATTTTCTTAGCCATCAGAGACATGATGCCATTGCATACTATGTAACCACTGGAAAACTCCACTCTTCTTTTGTTGGAAAATGAAAGTAAAAAGGATCAATAGCATCTTACTTTTGACATAGCAAAATCTTTTAACATCATGGACTGTTTCCGAAGGTACTCAAAGGTCCTCAGGATTCTCTAGACTACACTTGGAGAATTGCAGTTTGAAATCTTGATTTTTACATGTTTCTGTTTTTCCTTAAGAGCATCTAAAGTTATGTAACAGCCTAAAGACATTCACTGCATCTCCTAAGTTTGGATAGACTGTGTTATATTCTTACTCAGTTCAAAACTTTTCTAAATTCCTTAGTGATTTCTTCTTTGTTCCAAAGAGTATTTTGAAATGCACCATATGACTCCCAAATATTTGAGAAGACGGCAAAATTTTCATTATTCTTATCTCACTTTATTCTATTGTGTTCAAGGACACCCTCTCTATGACTTTAATTGTTTCAAATCTATGGAGACTTGCTGGAAGGCCATGTGTAGAGTATACCTCAGTGAATGCTCCATGCACACTTCAACATGTATTCTGTAGTTTGGTATAGTGTTAAATAGGTCGACATTTTTATTGAGAACAAAGATATTATGTCTAATTTTTTGTATATTTTTTCCAGCCTGTTGTGTTTGGGAAAGATTTATAACCATAGTGAGAGAATCAAGGAAATCTCTAACTGGGAGTGTGGACTTATCTATTTCTCTCTTTAGTTGTGTCAGTTTCTCAATTATATGTCACAAAAGCTCTTATTAGGGTAAAACACTTTGAGTATTGCTATGTATTCCTCTGTGTGTGCACATGCGCCTCTGTGTGTGTGTGTGTGTGTGTGTGTGTGTGTGTGTGTGCAGCTATTTCTGTAGATTCTATTGAATTATTTTTCAGTTAATTCTTTCTCTGGAAACAACTCACCTGATGGGGAGACCACCCAGTGAATTTTTCATTTAAGATATACCTTTTAATAGTTCTTTAATTTGATTTGACTCTTTTATCCTTTTACTTTCCCTGGATATGATATCTGTTACATTCCGTATTTATGTTTTCTTAAATCCAGAAATGCAGTTATCATACCAATATGTCAAATTAACATGCCATTTAAATCATTTCTATCATTCCTGGGTCTGTTTTTATTGACTGATTATTTTCCTGGTTATGGTTGACACTAAATGCTTTTTTATGTGTAGTAAAGTTATAAATTTAGGACTCACACTGTGGATATTGCATAGCTCAGCAACTTAACTTTGTTGTTCACCTGTAAAGAGGGTTGAGTTTTCTTCTAGAGGGCAGTTAATTGACTAGGACACCATTTTAATGCTTGGAGATTTGCTTTTCAACTTTGCTAGGGTTTTTCTGGAGCCACCTTTATTCTAAGAACATACAAATTCTACTCATAAAGTCTCACTTTTCTGAGGTCTCTACTGAATGCCCGAGGTTTTCAATGAGGTCTCTTCTCTCTGGCTGGTCAAAACTCCAATATTCCAGAGTGCTATGTGAGCTCTGTCACCTTTATTAAGCTCACTGTTCCCTTGTAGTTGTTGTTCCTCAATAGATGTTTTTTGCCCTATTTTCTTGTGGAAAATCTCCTATGAAGTGTTGCTTTATGTTTAGTCTAACACTTGAGGAGACTTCTATGCCTGGAGCTCCTTTCCTCCACAAATCCATTCTTACTCTTAGCACAGCTAGAAAATCCTAACTACCTGAGTAATCTCAAAGTCCAATCACTCTCCTCCATTCAGCAACATGGCTACAGTTAGCTTGGGCTCCATCTCCTTGCTTTTCGGTGCAGGAAGGGTCTCCTTGAAGAAAGCCAAGGCATTGGTGGGTCAATCTCATTTTCTCCCACTTGCAATACTCTTGGTCCTCTAGCATCTATTGTTCAACATGTGGAAATCATTTTGCCATGTCTTTGGTAGTCACTTAAGGCTGAAAGACTGGCCGTAGAGTGGTCAGATCACAGTTTCTGTCCGTCTACCTGCCCCTTTTACTTTTCAGCATTGCCCCTTTGCTGACTCTCATCTGCTTTCCTGCCTTTGTTCTTCTCCTCCGGGCAGCCCTATCCCTTCAGATCACTGGTGCTCAGGACCAAGCGTGTTTGTACCCATTGAAAAAGATGTGGATAGAAAAAGGTTTGCCACTCCATAGATGTGCACATTTCAATTCCCTGTGACCCAAGATGCAAAAGGCCAACAAAACATTCACTTCAGGGACTAGATCTTAGAATGATAGAATTCCAAGGTGAAAGGTTGCATTAACCCTCAGCCAATGTTGTAGAAGAGTACTCTAACTCTGTGGTCATTTGTCATCCTGACTGCTTTATTAATAAGATCTCCTCACCTCCATATGTCCTCCTGCTTCCATAAAACTAGGAGGAAGGAGAGCCAGCTTAAACAATGTCTTCTCGGCCGGGTGTGGTGACTCACCCCTGTAATCCCAGCACTTTGGGAGGCCAAGGCAGGTGGATCACGAGATCAGGAGATTGAGATCATCCTGGCTAGAACAGTGAAACCCTGTCTCTACTAAAACTACAAAAAATTAGCTAGGTGTGGTGGCAGGCACCTGTAGTCCCAGCTGCTAGAGAGGCTGAGGCAGGAGAACGGTGTGAACCCGGGAGGCAGAGCTTACAGTGAGCCGAGATCGTGCCACTGCACTCCAGCCTGGGCAACAGAGCAAGACTCTGTCTCAAAAATAAATAAATAAATAAAATAAAAAGTCTTCTCTAAGAACTTTTGCTCACAAGCAATGTTCCTCTACATCTGAGCCAAGTTGAGTACTGAGCAGTTACCTCAAAGCATGACTCTTCTAACAGAATCTTCCATTGGCCCTTCCTTCGCTTATGGTAAAGAACAAAGACCTACGCATTTGGATAGTTTTTTGGGGTCCGACTATGCTGGTGTGGTGTCATAGATGACCATGCTTGGCAACTTCTTCCTGTAACAGTGGTGGAGTATGTGCCTCGGTAACTCTGTCCATAATGGTAGTAGCACTCCTGTACCCCGGGGGTTTCCTCAGTCAGTTCTGAAATTAAAACAGAAGACATCAAGCTTAGTATTTCCTAGAACATAAAAACACACAAAGCCATTTATGACATAAACCAGAAAGAAGTCTCTGAGATTTACAGCCATTCTCTATTCTTTATTAATAGGCAAATTGACATGAGAAAACACACAAACAAACAAACAAACATGAAAGCAAGAGACGCCTACCATTCTGGAACTGTAGTAAGTTCTTAGAAATATTTCATGTAAAACTTAGTGGAAAACAATTAGATTGCTTCTCATTGGAAACTCCACTAACATGCAAGATCATTTCTAGGGATTGCTACAGAGTGTTCATGAGGATATGGAACAGCAGAGAAGAAAGGGTGATGCATTTGGCAAATCTGAAAAGCAAATCTACAAACACTAAAATTGTTTTTTGGGGAGGAGGCAAGGACACATATAAGAACCTTGCATGTGTCCCTGGATCATTGCTCAAAAAAGAAAAGCATTAAACTCCTGGTGATGGGACAGACAACAGTCCTGCAGCTAAAACTGGAGGCAACAACACTTCACTTCTCAGAAATGAGTGGAGGCCAAAAGCTTATCACCTTGGATAAGATAGGGAATCCTCTCATGCCCAGCATAATGCATTGCAATAAAGCAAAAGTCTACTACTCTTTTTCTTCAGACTCCCCGCAGCTACAAGTTCCATCAGAAAGAAGCAAAAGAACACTAAAAAATCACTCCCTTCAAAGCTAAGAACTGCACAACCTGCCTCGGACTGAAAAGGACCTGAAAGATAGAGCATTGGGAGCTCACGTACTGCTCCATAGACCCAGGGACATATGGAATTAATGCAGCCCTGTTAGGTTTCTCAAGGATAACACGATCAAGAGCCATGTTTCTCAGAATCTACAATGCTGATGATTGCACTGAACACTGTCTACTTGAAGAAATGCCTGGGAAAATGTACTGGCTTGGAAAGACACACATATCTGACAGCATATTACAATAAGAATTTTGTCTAGGACACTGAGATAGTCCCTTTTACAGTGAGGGGAGTAGTGAAGTCGAGCACCCAGAATGGTTTGCGCCCATCCTAAAGACACAGTTCGCACAGGTTACACCAAAAATCACACCTCTGGCTCCCCCAGAGAGTGCACTAAGGCTTCCTCCCACATGGCAGACCCAGAACCAACACACGAGAACCAGTGTAGCACTGAAGGCTTGTGCATCAGTGGGGGTTTCCATGGCTTTTCATCCCAGCATCCAAGCACATAAATGTCTGGCCACAGCTTCTTACCTTGTTCAAAAAAAGCCTCTAGGCTTGGTACTGGAATAATATTTGGAGGCACGACAGCAGTCCCTTCTGCATCTGAGCATCGTGTCAGGTTGCAGTACTCCCACCTGATACTGGGATCCGTTGTATAGCACCAAGGGGCTGCCACAGGATCTGGATTTCGGCAGTAGTTCTTGACCAAGCCACTGGAAATTCCGAAAGAATACACATCACAAAAAAATGGGTCAATATACTGGAACACTATATATTTTGCTACAACAAGGTCATAACTGGTGCCTTTGAAATATTCCCAATAGAGATAACATACAATTGCCACAAGGACAAATGGCTCTCAATCTCTAATCCTCTCTGCACATTTCTCATACTTAATAGATTATCACTTTTTTAAAGAAAAAAAAATCTAATGTAGCACACACTTCCTAGAAACACTGAGATAATACATACATGTGGCCAAAAAGGGATCACAGTATCCTCCTTCTGCCTTCTGCCCAATCCATCTCTCTGGAATAACCGGTATGGATTTTGACATGTGTATTGTGGAATTGGTTATGCACATACAAAAGTATCTCTATCTGTCTATCTCTCCGTATCTCTCTGTGTAGGACTTCATATAGTGATGTGTGAGTTGGAACTAACATACAGTTCTCCAGAGAAAAAATGGCATCCAGGATGATATCCTTCCCAGGCCAGTGGTCTCACTATATGTACTCAAAGTGTAGCCAAAAGGCTCTACCTTTAGCATGTTAAACCATTGCAAAAAAAGTATTACTGTCTGTCGATACTGTATCAGGTGGGTCAAGTCAGTTTGTTTTTGCAAGACTTGTCAAAGCTTCCCTGGAAACCTAGCTTTCAGGAAGGATGCAGTATCTCTAGGATGGCTTCCTGGTCAGGACTTCCTCTTCTGCTCTCAGTCCATCCTCTGCTGGCCACAGCAATTCCGGGACTGAGGGAATAGGGGATGAGTTGAAAGAACAGTGGGACTTATGGCATAAAGGGAGACAGCTGAGTAGACTATGAGGTCTGAAGAGGTCGGGCAGCTGTGGAGGACTCCGGGTCAGGGAAATCTCAGAGCATTCACTCCCCCTTATGCCTCCTAGGAACATTGCTCCAACCTCTCAGAATCCTCTCATTCATGACCTGTAGTTGCCTGGGAAAATGAGAAATGTGTTATGGGTCATGAGGATCCAACACTGTCTCTCTAGAGACTCCATATATGACCTAGTCTTAAGCCCAGACCCTCCATTCCAGGAAGCTGGTTCAATGAGCAACAGGATGGGCTCAGAGTTTGAGCACTTGAAAGACTTCTTTTTCTTCCTTGGCTTCCCTCTTTTGGATACATGGAAAATTCTTATTATACAATATCCTTCAGAATTCAACATTTTGTGGTTGCTTTAGGATTTACAATATCCCTTTGGGCCCACAAATTCAACCTTTCATTTATATTACATACCATCATGGGTAAGGTAAGAAACTTACAATGGTACACTTCCAATTATTCCCTACATGATTTATGCTGTATGTTCAAATTTTTACCTCTACATTTGCTAAAGTTAAATATATTGCTATCATCTTGCTTCAAGTAGTCAACTCTCATTTAAAAAGATACAGAAGTTTGATCAAGATAATATTTTGCATTTACATCTACATTTGCCATTTGCTGGGTTCTTCATTACATGGGCTGTAGAAAGCTCCCCTCTTGTACTATTCTTCTTCTAGCTAATTTTCTTCAGGTAACATCTCCTGTTACACGAGCCTGCTGATTCCAAATTATTAGTTTTTGGTTTATTTATTTGGGGCAGCGCACAATATGCATTCATCCAACACAGATGATCTTCAAGGCATTTTATTGCTGGATATAGCATTCTTGGTTGATCTCTTCTTTTTCTAGTTTATCATTTTAATAACATTCCCTGTTATCTGGGTTCCAGTGTTTCTGATGAGAACACGTTAGCAATTTGTATCACTGTTCTTCTATCAAGACACCGCTCTTTTTCCTCTGGTTTCTCATGAGATGTTTGTTGTTATTACATCTTTGCCTTCTACCATTGAACTGTGATGTACAAAAGTGCATTATAGTTTTTTTTTTTTTTAATTTATTTATTATTATTAAACTTCAAGTTGTAGGGTACATGTGCACAACGTGCAGGTTTGCTACATATGTATACTTGTGCCATGTTGGTGTGCTGCACCCATCAACTCGTCATTTACATCAGGTATAACTCCCAATGCAATCCCTCCCCCCTCCCCCCTCCCCATGATAGTCCCCGGTGTGTGATGTTCCCCTTCCCGAGTCCAAGTGATCTCACTGTTCAGTTCCCACCTACGAGTGAGAACATGCGGTGTTTGGTTTTCTGTTCTTGTGATAGTTTGCTAAGAATGATGGTTTCCAGCTGCATCCATGTCCCTACAAAGGACACAAACTCATCCTTTTTTATGGCTGCATAATATTCCATGGTGTATATGTGCCACATTTTCTTAATCCAATCTGTCACTGATGGACATTTGGGTTGATTCCAAGTCTTTGCTATTGTGAATAGTGCTGCAATAAACATACGTGTGCATGTGTCCTTATAGCAGCATAATTTATAATCCTTTGGGTATATACCCAGTAATGGGATGGCTGGGTCATATGGTACATCTAGTTCTAGATCCTTGAGGAATCGCCATACTGTTTTCCATAATGGTTGAACTAGTTTACAATCCCACCAACAGTGTAAAAGTGTTCCTATTTCTCCACATCCTCTCCAGCACCTGTTGTTTCCTGGCTTTTTAATGATCGCCATTCTAACTGGTGTGAGATGGTATCTCATTGTGGTTTTGATTTGCATTTCTCTGATGGCCAGTGATGATGAGCATTTTTTCATGTGTCTGTTGGCTGTATGAATGTCTTCTTTTGAGAAATGTCTGTTCATATCCTTTGCCCACTTTTGGATGGGGTTGTTTGTTTTTTTCTTGTAAATTTGTTTGAGTTCTTTGTAGGTTCTGGATATTAGCCCTTTGTCAGATGAGTAGATTGCAAAAATTTTCTCCCATTCTGTAGGTTGCCTGCTCACTCTGATGGTAGTTTCTTTTGCTGTGCAGAAGCTCTTTAGTTTGATGAGATCCCATTTGTCATTTTGGCTTTTGCTGCCGTTGCTTTTGGTGTTTTAGACATGAAGTCTTTGCCCATGCCTATGTCCTGAATGGTACTACCTAGGTTTTCCTCTAGGATTTTTATGGTATTAGGTCTAACATTTAAGTCTCTAATCCATCTTGAATTAATTTTCGTATAAGGAGTAAGGAAAGGATCCAGTTTCAGCTTTCTACTTATGGCTAGCCGGTTTTCCCAGCACCATTTATTAAATAGGGAATCCTTTCCCCATTTCTTGTTTCTCTCAGGTTTGTCAAAGATCAGATGGCTGTAGATGTGTGGTATTATTTCTGAGGACTCTGTTCTGTTCCATTGGTCTATATCTCTGTTTTGGTACCAGTACCATGCTGTTTTGGTTACTGTAGCCTTGTAGTATAGTTTGAAGTCAGGTAGCGTGATGCCTCCAGCTTTGTTCTTTTGACTTAGGATTGTCTTGGAGATGCGGGCTCTTTTTTGGTTCCATATGAACTTTAAAGCAGTTTTTTCCAATTCTGTGAAGAAGCTCATTGGTAGCTTGATGGGGATGGCATTGAATCTATAAATTACCTTGGGCAGTATGGCCATTTTCACGATATTGATTCTTCCTATCCATGAGCATGGTATGTTCTTCCATTTGTTTGTGTCCTCTTTTATTTCACTGAGCAGTGGTTTGCAGTTCTCCTTGAAGAGGTCCTTTACATCCCTTGTAAGTTGGATTCCTAGGTATTTTATTCTCTTTGAAGCAATTGTGAATGGAAGTTCATTCCTGATTTGGCTCTCTGTTTGACTGTCACTGGTGTATAAGAATGCTTGTGATTTTTGCACATTAATTTTGTATCCTGAGACTTTGCTGAAGTTGCTGATCAGCTTAAGGAGATTTTGGGCTGAGACAATGGGGTTTTCTAAATATACAATCATGTCGTCTGCAAACAGGGACAATTTGACTTCTTCTTTTCCTAACTGAATCCCCTTGATTTCTTTCTCTTGCCTGATTGCCCTAGCCAGAACTTCCAACACTATGTTGAATAGGAGTGGTGAGAGAGGGCATCCCTGTCTTGTGCCAGTTTTCAAAGGGAATTTTTCCAGTTTTTGCCCATTCAGTATGATATTGGCTGTGGGTTTGTCATAAATAGCTCTTATTATTTTGAGGTACGTTCCATCAATACAGAATTTATTGAGCGTTTTTAGCATGAAGGGCTGTTGAATTTTGTCAAAAGCCTTTTCTGCATCTATTGAGATAATGATGTGGTTCTTGTCTTTGGTTCTGTTTATATGCTGGATTATGTTTATTGATTTGCAAATGTTGAACCAGCCTTGCATCCCAGGGATGAAGCCCACTTGATCATGGTGGATAAGCTTTTTGATGTGCTGCTGAATCCGGTTTGCCAGTATTTTATTGAGGATTTTTGCATCGATGTTCATCAGGGATATTGGTCTAAAATTCTCTTTTTTTGTTGTGTCTCTGCCAGGCTTTGGTATCAGGATGATGTTGGCCTCATAAAATGAGTTAGGGAGGATTCCCTCTTTTTCTATTGATTGGAATAGTTTCAGAAGGAATGGTACCAGCTCCTCCTTGTACCTCTGGTAGAATTCAGCTGTGAATCCATCTGGTCCTGGACTTTTTTTGGTTGGTAGGCTATTAATTATTGCCTCAATTTCAGAGCCTACTATTGGTCTATTCAGGGATTCAACTTCTTCCTGGTTTAGTCTTGGAAGAGTGTAAGTGTCCAGGAAATTATCCATTTCTTCTAGATTTTCCAGTTTATTTGCGTAGAGGTGTTTATAGTATTCTCTGATGGTAGTTTGTATTTCTGTGGGGTCGGTGGTGATATCCCCTTTATCATTTTTAATTGCGTCGATTTGATTCTTCTCTCTTTTCTTCTTTATTAGTCTTGCTAGTGGTCTGTCAATTTTGTTGATCTTTTCAAAAAACCAACTCCTGGATTCATTGATTTTTTGGAGGGTTTTTTGTGTCTCTATCTCCTTCAGTTCTGCTCTGATCTTAGTTATTTCTTGCCTTCTGCTAGCTTTCGAATGTGTTTGCTCTTGCTTCTCTAGTTCTTTTAATTGCAATGTTAGAGTGTCAATTTTAGATCTTTCCTGCTTTCTCTTGTGGGCATTTAGTGCTATAAATTTCCCTCTACACACTGCTTTAAATGTGTCCCAGAGATTCTGGTATGTTGTATCTTTGTTCTCATTGGTTTCAAAGAACATCTTTATTTCTGCCTTCATTTCGTTATGTACCCAGTAGTCATTCAGGAGCAGGTTGTTCAGTTTCCATGTAGTTGAGCGGTTTTGATTGAGTTTCTTAGTCCTGAGTTCTAATTTCATTGCACTGTGGTCTGAGAGACAGTTTGTTATAATTTCTGTTCTTGTACATTTGCTGAGGAGTGCTTTACTTCCGATTACGTGGTCAATTTTGGAGTAAGTACGATGTGGTGCTGAGAAGAATGTATATTCTGTTGATTTGGGGTGGAGAGTTCTATAGATGTCTATTAGGTCTGCTTGCTGCAGAGATGAGTTCAATTCCTGGATATCCTTGTTAACTTTCTGTCTCATTGATCTGTCTAATGTTGACAGTGGAGTGTTGAAGTCTCCCATTATTATTGTATGGGAGTCTAAGTCTCTTTGTAAGTCTCTAAGGACTTGCTTTATGAATCTGGGTGCTCCTGTATTGGGTGCATATATATTTAGGATAGTTAGCTCTTCCTGTTGAATTGATCCCTTTACCATTATGTAATGGCCTTCTTTGTCTCTTTTGATCTTTGATGGTTTAAAGTCTGTTTTATCAGAGACTAGTATTGCAACCCCTGCTTTTTTTTGTTCTCCATTTGCTTGGTAGATCTTCCTCCATCCCTTTATTTTGAGCCTATGTATGTCTCTGCATGTGAGATGGGTCTCCTGAATACAGCAGACTGATGGGTCTTGACTCTTTATCCAGTTTGCCAGTCTGTGTCTTTTAATTGGAGCATTTAGTCCATTTACATTTAAGGTTAAGATTGTTATGTGTGAACTTGATCCTGCCATGATGATATTAACTGGTTATTTTGCTCGTTAGTTGATGCAGTTTCTTCCTAGCCTTGATGGTCTTTACATTTTGGCATGTTTTTGCAATGGCTGGTACCGGTTGTTCCTTTCCATGTTTAGTGCTTCCTTCAGGGTCTCTTGTAAGGCAGGCCTAGTGGTGACAAAATCTCTAAGCATTTGCTTATCTGTAAAGGATTTTATTTCTCCTTCACTTATGAAACTTAGTTTGGCTGGATATAAAATTCTGGGTTTAAAATTCTTTTCTTTAAGAATGTTGAATATTGGCCCCCACTCTCTTCTGGCTTGAAGAGTTTCTGCCGAGAGATCTGCTGTTAGTCTGATGGGCTTCCCTTTGTGGGTAACCCGACCTTTCTCTCTGGCTGCCCTTAAGATTTTTTCCTTCATTTCAACTTTGGTGAATCTGGCAATTATGTGTCTTGGAGTTGCTCTTCTCGAGGAGTATCTTTGTGGCGTTCTCTGTATTTCCTGGATTTGAATGTTGGCCTGCCCTACTAGGTTGGGGAAGTTCTCCTGGATGATATCCTGAAGAGTGTTTTCCAACTTGGTTCCATTTTCCCCGTCACTTTCAGGCACCCCAATCAGACGTAGATTTGGTCTTTTTACATAATCCCATACTTCTTGCAGGCTTTGTTCATTTCTTTTTCTTCTTTTTTCTTTTGGTTTCTCTTCTCGCTTCATTTCATTCATTTGATCCTCCATCGCTGACATTCTTTCTTCCAGTTGATCGAGTCGGTTACTGAAGCTTGTGCATTTGTCACGTATTTCTCGTGCCATGGTTTTCGTCTCTTTCATTTCGTTTGTGAGCTTCTCTGCATTAATTACTCTAGCCATCAATTCTTCCACTTTTTTTTCAAGATTTTTAGTTTCTTTGCGCTGGGTACGTAATTCCTCCTTTAGCTCTGAGAAATTTGATGGACTGAAGCCTTCTTCTCTCATCTCGTCGAAGTCATTCTCCGTCCAGCTTTGATCCGTTGCTGGCGATGAGCTGCGCTCCTTTGCCGGGGGAGATGCGCTCTTATTTTTTGAATTTCCAGCTTTTCTGCCCTGCTTTTTCCCCATCTTTGTGGTTTTATCTGCCTCTGGTCTTTGATGATGGTGATGTACTGATGGGGTTTTGGTGTAGGTGTCCTTCCTGTTTGATAGCTTTCCTTCTAACAGTCAGGATCCTCAGCTGTAGGTTGTAGCTGTAGGAGATTGCTTGAGGTCCACTCCAGACCCTGTTTGCCTGGGTATCAGCAGCAGAGGCTCAGTTGAAAATGCAGAAATCGCCGGTCTTCTGTGTCGCTCGCGCTGGGAGTTGGAGACTGGAGCTGTTCCTATTCGGCCATCTTGCTCCGCCCAAAAGCATCTATAGTTTTTTTTAACTCCCTATCTGATTCATTCAGCTTCTTGAATCTGTGATTTTTAAATATTCTTCATATTTGAAAAGTTTTTAGCTATCCTTGCTTCCAGTATTTGTTTCTGTTGCAATCTCTCCTTCCTCTCCTTCTGTGACGTCCTACCCATATGCAGGAAATCTTCTTATATTTTCCCACACATCTGTTAGGATCAGTTGATTTCATTTTTAGTATTTGTGGAGGTACATGTGTGTATGTGTGTGTGTGCATGTTTCTAAGCCTGTGCATGTGTGGGTATGTGTGTGTGTGTGTGTGTGTGTGTGTGTGTGTGTGTGTCGTGTGTGTATGTGTAGCTGGTTCTGTAGGTGGTATAAAATTGTTTTTCAGTTAGTTTTTACTTCTGAAATATCTCACTCGATTGGGAATTCATCCAGCAATTTTTTCATTTAAGACATACCTTCTTATACTAGTTCTTTAATTTGATTTGGCTCTTCTATACTGTTACTGTCTCTTGATATGATATCTGCTTCATTCCATATTCATGCTTTCTTTGATCCTAAAACTCAGTTATCATATTGATATGTCAACTTTTTTGCCATTCTAATCATTTCTGTCATTTCTAGGTCTATTTCTATTGGCTGATTTTTCTCCTGGTCATGGTTCACACTAAAAGCTTCTCTATGTGTAGTCAAGTTTTAAATTTAGAACTCACACTGTGAACACCACATAGCTGAGCTACTTGACTTTGTTGTTTACCTATTAACAGGATTGAGTTTTCCTCTCCCAGCAGTTAATTGACTTGGAAACCATTTTAATGCTTGGAGACTTGCTTTTCAGCTTTGCTAGCATTTGTCTAGAGCTGCCGTTGTTCTAGGAATTTACTAATTCTACTCCTAAAGTATGACTTTTCTGGAGTCTCTACTGTATTCCCAAGAGGTTCAGTGAGGTGTCTCCTCCAGCTGGTCAGAACTCTAATATCCCAGAATGCTATGAGAGCTCTGTCCTCTTCATTGAGCTCACTGTTCAATTGCAGTTGCTGTTCCTCAGGATATATTCTTTTCTCAACTTTCTTGTGGAATCTTTTTCTGTGTACATGCAGCATCATGTTTAGCTAAAGATCTGAGGAGACTACTATGTGTGCTCCTGGCGCTCCTTTCATCCACAAATCTATTCTCATTATCAGTAGGCCTATAAAATCCTAGCTACGACAGTAGGCCCAAATTCCAATCTCTCTCCTACATTCAGCAAGATGGCTACAGTCCATCTGGGCTCCATCACCTTGCTCTTCAGTGCAACAAGAGCCTCCAGAAAGAAAGTCATTTCATTTATGGAGTTGATTTCATTTTTCCCCCTCTCACTATACTTTTGGTGCACTACCGTCTGTTTTCCAACATGTAGAAACCATTTGTCCATGTCTTTGCTAGCCACTTATGGCCAAAAGACTGGCCATGGGTTGGTCAGACCTGGGCTTCTGTCAATCTATCCACCACTTTTATTTTCCAGCATCTCTCTCTTTGCTGACTCTCATCTACCTTTCTGCCATTTCTATTCTCTTTCTAACAACCAGTATCACTTCAGATCACTGGTGGTCAGAACCGACTGTGTTTCTACATACTGGGGAAGACATAGATATAGAAAGAGATAGATTCATCTCTCCATAGATATACATATATACTTTCCTTGTAAGTCAAAACAGAAAAACCCAACAGAACTTTCACTCCAGTAATTGCAGGTGTGTTTAACAGAATTCCCATGATAAAAGGCTGCATAGAACCTTAGTGGGTGTTGTGGAAGGTTACTCTAAGAGTTTCGTGGATGGCATCGTGACTATTTCTAAATGTGATATCTTTGTCTCCAGAAAACTTTCTGCTCTTCTAAACTAGGAAGAATGAGACCAGATTAACAGTTGTCTTCTCCTAGACCCTGGGCTCAAAGACAATATTCCAGAGATATTTTCCTAAGCACTATTCATCTGAGAAAATTTCAGTCCAGAACACAAAGCTTGAAGTATGACATTTCTAATAGAAATTTCCATTGGTCCTTCATAACTTATGGTAAAGAACAAAGACATACGCATTTGGGTAGTTTTCTGGTGTACGACTATGCGAGTGCGGTGTCATAGATGACCAAGCTTGACAGATTTTCCCTGTGACAGTGGTGAAGTATGTGCCTCGATAATTCTCTCCATTACCGTGATAGCACTCCTGCACCCCAGGCCTTTGCTCAGTCGGTGCTGAAAGGAAAACAGAAGAAATCAAGCTGAGCATCTCTGAGAACAGAGAAACATGTGAAGCCACTGATGACACAACCAGGAAGGAGTCTATGAGAATTACGACCGTACTCTTTTCCTTATCCGTAGGCCGAGGGATGTGAGAAAACCAACCAACAAAACAACACCAAAGCAACAGATTCCTACCATTCTAACACCGTAGTAAGTGCTTGCAAATATTTCAACTGAAACCTTAGAGAAACAGAACAGATCAGAATGCTTCTCATTGGAAAGTGTACTCACGAGCAAGCACCTTTCTGGGAAACTCTACTGAATGTTCATGAGGAAGATGGGGCAAGATCGAGCAAAAGGCACTGCATTTGGCAATGCGGGATGCAGAGGGTAATCGGCTGTGGGGGACAGAGGCGGGGATAGCCAAGGAAATCTTGCATGTTTCCCTAGACTGTTGATCATGAAAGCCAAGGCCTTTGGCTTCCGGGCCATGGGGCAGAAAACGGTCCTCTATATCTGACTGAAGGCAAAGACACGTTGCTTCTCAGGGATGTGTGCAGGCCAAAAGCTTATTCCTCGGGAGAAGAGAGGGAATCCTCTTGTGCCCCATATCCTGAATTGCAATAAACGATAAATCTACTGCTCTTTCTCTCCAGACCCCTCCCAGGTACAGGTGCCATCAGAAAGAGGTTTAAGAATACGGAGAAATCATTCCCTTCAAAGCCTAGGGCTGCAGAGCCTTAGAGCATTGGGAGTTCATGTACTGCTCCATTGACGCAGCGCGATATGGAATAAAGGCAGACCTGCTGGGTTTCTCAAGGGTGACAGACTCCAGTCATATTTCTCGGAATCTGCAATGCTGAAGATTGCACCGAATGCTGCCTACTTGAAGAACTCCCTGGAAAACTTCCTGGGCACACCCTGGAGGGTTTGTGCCCATCCTAAAGACACAGCCCACCCACATTGTACCAGAAATCACTCAGCTGTCTCCCCCAGAGAGTGCACGCAGGCTTCCTCCTACATGGCAGAACACTCCAGCATCCGTGGACCATTGAAAGCTGCTGCACCAGTCGGAATTTCCATGGCTTTTCATCCCAGCATCTAAGCGTGTAGATGTCTGGCCACAGGCTCCTTACCTTGTTCAGAAGGAGCCTCTAGGCTTGGAACCGGGGTGACATTCGGAGGTGCAACGGCAGTCCCTTCTGCGTCTGAGCATTGTGTCAGGTTGCAGTACTCCCACCTGACACTGGGATCCATCGTATAACAATAAGGGGCTGCCACAGGATCTGGATTCCTGCAGTAGTTCCTGATCAAGCCACTGGAAATTCAAAAATGATACATGTCACAAGAGGTGGGACACTATGCAGGGGCACCCGACACCCCCTCCTTTGTGCGGCAACAAGGTCATTACCGGTGTCTTTCTAATATACCCATTTAAAGTACCATATGATTGCCCCAAGCACAAATGGTTCTCAATCCCCAATCCTCTCTGCACATTTCTCATACTTAAGAGATTATTAGGATTTTTTTTTAATCTAAAGTAGCAAACGCCTCTTAGAAACACGGAGGTAATGCATACATGTGGCCCAAAAATGATCAGACTATTCTTCTGCCTTCTACCCAATCCATCTCTCTGGAATAGCTGGTATGGATTTTGACATCTGTATTGTGCCATTGTTTATTCACATACAAAAGTATCTGTATCTGTCTAGTTCTCAGTATCTCTCTCGGTAGGACTTCATATTCTAATGTGGGAATTGCAACTAACACGTAGTTCTTCAGAGAAAACATAGCATCCAGAAGGATAGCCTTTCCAGGTCAACCTTCACACACTATGTACCCAAAACGTACTGAAAAGGCTGTACGTTTCACATGGAAATGCACTGTGCAAATACTATTACTATCTGTCATTCCCATATCAAGTGGGTCAAGTAGAGTAGGTTTATTTCTGCACGACTTCTCAAAGTTGCCCTGGAAAATTTGTTCCCAGGCAGGATGCAGTATCTCTAGAATGGGTTCCTGGGCAGGACCTTCTCTCTTGCTCTCAATCTATCCTCTGCTGGCCGCAGCCACTCCGGGACTGAGGAAAAGGGAATGAGTTGAAAGAACAGTGGGAACCATGGCATAAAGGAAGACAGCAGGGTGGACTAAAAGATCTGAAGAGGTCGGACAGCTACGGAGGAGCAGAAAACAATGAAAAAGGGGGCAAAGCAGGGGAGGAGTTTGGGCTGCGGGGATCTTGAAGCATTCACTCTTCCCTATGTCTCCCAAGAACGTTGCTCCAACCTCTCAGTATCCTCACATTCATGACCTGTGGCTGCATGAGAAAATGGGAATGTATTCTGGGCCATGGGGATCCAACACTCTCTCTCTAGAGACTCTACAACTGTGACCTAGTCTCAACCTCAGACCCTCCATTCCAGGAAGCTGGTTCAATCAGCAACAGGATGTATAAGAGCTCGAGCTCTTTAAAGACTTTTTTTTTCTTCCATGGCTTCCCTCTTTGGAATGCATGGAATATTCTTATTAAAACATAAACCTCAGAGTTCAAAACTCTGTGATTGCCCTAGGATTCACAATATCCCTTCGAACCCACACAGTAACCTTTTATTAATATCACATACCATCGTGCATGAGGTAAGAAACTTACAATGGTACACTTCCAATTATTACCTGCAGGATTTATGCTTCATGTTCAAATTGTTACCTCTACATATGCTAAATTTAACCATATTGCTATCATTCTGCTTCAAGCAGTCAACCCTCATTTTAAAAGATATAGAAATTTGATCAAGAAAATATTTTGCATTTACATCTATCTGCATTTGCCAATTACTGGATTCTACATTACATGGGCTGCAGAAAGTTCCCTTCTTCTTCTTTTCTTCTTCTATCTAATTCCTTCGGGTCACCTCTCTTGTTATGTAAGTCTGCTGATTCCAAAGTCTGGCAGTTTCCTCTTTCTTTGTTTGGGGCAGTGCACAATATGCATTTATCCAACACGGATCATCTTCACGGCATTTTATTGCTAGATTCAGCATTCTCGGTTGATCTCTTCTGGTTCCAGATTATCATTTCAATAATATTCCCTGGTATGCGGCTTCCAGTGTTTCTGAGGTGAACCCATTACCAATTTGTAACACTCTACTTCTAGGAAGACAGCCCTTTTTCCTCCAGTTTCTCCTGAGATGTTTCTTCGTATTATACTTTTGCCTTGTTACCTTCAAACTGAGGATACAAAAGTACAGCACAGAGGTTTTTTGGGTTTTTTTTCCAATTTCCCTAATTGTTCCATAGAGTTTCACGAAACTGTGATTTTGTCAACATTCTTCATAATTGAAAAGTTATCAACCATCCTTGATTCCGGTACTTGCTTCTATCCAAACTCCCTTGCTCTTTTCTGTGACTTGCTTCCTACATGCAAGAAATCTTTTCATATTTTCCTACATGTCTGTGAGGCTCAGTTGATTTCGTATTTCACTATTTGTTCAGGAGTGTCCTTGTGTGTGAGAGAACGTGTGAGATTTTGCGTGTGTCCGTGTACGGGTGTGTTTTGAATTTGGGTGCATATGTGTAACTAGTTCTGTAGGTTCTGTAGAATTGCTTTTTGGTTAATTTTTTCTTCTGAAATGTCTAACTTGAACAGGTGGCCATGCAGTAATTTTTTCATTTAAGGCATACTGTTTTTATATTAGTTCTTTAATTTGATTTGGCTATTCTATACTGTTAATTTCTCTTGATATGACATCTGGTTTGTTTCCTATTCATTTTTTTAAATATTTGAAATCCGTTATCATACCAATATGTCAAATTTTCATGCAATTCTAATCATTTCTGTCATTTCTGAGCTTGTTTGTATTGCCTGATTTATTTCCTGGTTATGGATCACACGAAATGCTTTCCTCCATGTAGTCAAAGTTTAAATTTAGGACTCACTCTTGGGATACCACATAGCTGAGCCAATTGACTTTGTTGTTTACTTGTAAAGAGACTTGAGATTTCCTCTCACAGGCAGTTCATTGACTTGAAAACCGATTTGATGCTTGGACACTGGCTGTTCAGCTATGCAAGGGGCTGTCTGTAGCTGCCTGATTTCTAGGAATATACTAATTCCACTTTTAAATCAAGGCTGCTCTGGGGTCTCCACTGAATTGGCAACGTGTTCTGTGAGGCCTCTCTCGTCTAGCTGGTAAGAACTCCGAACTCCCAGAGCGCTATGTGATCTCCGTCTTCTTTATTGAGCTTGCTGTTCTCGCGTAGTTGCTATTTCTCAGTAAATGTTCTTTGCCATACTTTCTTGTGGAACCATTGTCTGTGCACATGCAGCGTCATGTCAGGCCAACAACTGGAGGAGACTTCTATGCATATTTGCAGAGCTCCTTTCCTCCACAAACCAGGTCTTATTTGTAGTAGACCTAGAAAATGTTAGCTACCAGAGTCATCCCAAACTCCAATCCCTCTCCTCCCTTCAGCAAGATGGCTACAGTCTCCTTGGGCTCCATCTCCTTCCTAGTCAGTGCAGGAAGCGTATCCAGGAAGAAAGCCAAGGCATCTATGGAGTTGAGCTCATCATTGCCCCTCTCTCATTTCTCTAGGTTCTCTACCATCTCTTGTCCCATTAGAGAAACCATTTTTCCATGTTTTGGCAGTCACTTGTGGCCAAAAAATTGGCCCTGGGGTGCTCAGACCCAGGTTTCTGTCCATCTACCCGTCCCTTTTACTTTTCAGCATTCATCTCTTTGCTCACTCTCATCTGCCTTCCTGCCTTGGCTCTTCTCTTGCCGTCAACCTGTATCCCTTCAGGCCACTGGTACTTAGGGCTGAGTGTTTCCCTCCCTGTTCAAATATATGTAGATATAGAAAGATATACATTTGCCTGTCCATACATAAGCACATATTCTTTTCTCATTGGCCCAGACAGAAAAGGCAAACAACTTTCCCTTCAGGAATTGGAAGTCAGAATAACAGAATTCCAATTGGAAAGTCTCATTGACCCTTAGTGGGTGTTGTGGAAGGGTAATCTAAGTGTTTGGTCGTCTGCCATTCTGACTTTCTTCATAATGTGATCTCCTTGCCTCCAGATTTCCCTTCTGCTCCATAAAACTAGGAGGAAGGAGAGGCAGCTTAACAGTTCTCTTCTCTCAGACCCTTATCTCCAAGGCAATCATCCTGAGACATTTTGGTATGCCCGCCATCTGCGTCTGACACAAGCTGAGTTCGGAAAACTCAGCTTGAAGCACGTCTCTTCTAACAGAAACTTCAATTGGCCCTTTCTTCTCTTATGGTAAAGAACAAAGACATACCCATTTGGGTAGTTTTCTGGGGTCCGACTGTAAAGAACAAAGACTTACCCATTTGGGTAGTTTTCTGGGGTCCCCACTATGAGAGGCAGCTTGGCAGATGACCAAGCTTGGCAGGTCTTTCCTGTGACAGTGGTGAAGTATGTGCCCCGATAACTCTGTCCATTACCGTGGTAGCACTCCTGCACCCCAGGCTTTTGCTCAGTCGGTGCTGAAAGGAAAAAGAAGAATCAAGCTGAGCATCTCTGAGAACAGAGATACATGTGAAGGCACTGATGACACAACCAGGAAGGTATCTATGAGAATTACGACCGTACTCTTTTCCCTATCCGTAGGCCGAGGGATGGAGAAACCGAACAACAAACCATAACACCAAAGCAAGATCTACCATTCTAGAACTGTAGTAAGTTCTGGAAATATTTAACCTGCAACTCAGGAGAAACAGAACAGATCAGACTGCTCTCCTCATTGGAAAGTGCGCTCACCAGCAAGCAACCTTCTGGGAAACTCTACTGAATGTTCATGAAGAAGATGGGGCAGGATCGAGCAAAGGGCATTGTGTATCGGCAAATGTGGGCTGCAGGTGGTAATCGACTGTTGAGAACAGAGGTGGATACTGACATGTTTCCCCAGACTCGTTCATGAAAGCCAAGGCCTTTGGCTTCCGGGCCATGGGGCAGAAAACGGTCCTCTATATCTGACTGAAGGCAAAGACACTTTGCTTCTCAGGGATGTGTGCAGGCCAAAAGCTTATTCCTCTGGAGGAGAAGGAATCCTCCTCATGGGCTGTGCATCCTGAATGGTAATAAAGGAGAAGCCTACTACTCTGTTCTCTCTCCAGACCCTCCCAGGCACAGCTGCCACTGTAAAAAGAGGTTTAAGAACACTGAGAAATCACTCCTTCAAACCCTAGGCTGCAGGAGCCAGAGCATTGGGAGCCTGTGCGGCTGCCTGACAGACCCAGGGCGTATATGGAATTAAGGAAGCCCTGTTAGGTTTCCTCGAGGCCAGGCCTCCAGAGTCATATTTCTTGAATCTGCAATGCTGAAGATTGCACCCAACGTCTACTTGAAGAAATCCCCGAAATGCTTCCTGGCTTGGGAAGAGTCATAACACCTCAGAGCATGTCACAATAAAAATGTTGGCTAAGACACTGAGATAGTCCGTTTTACTACCCGAGGTGACTTGCAGGCGATCACCCTGGAGGGTTTGGGCCCATCCTAAAGACACAGCCCACCCACGTTGTACCAGAAATCACTCCTCTGACTCCCCCAGAGAGTGCACGCAGGCTTCCTCCTACATGCAGAACTCAGTCAACACTCGAACATCCGTGGACCATTGAAAGCCGCTTAATTCACTGAATTCTCCTAAGCTTTTCATCCCAGCATCTAAGCGTGTAGATCGCTCGCCACAGGCCTTACCTTGTTCGGAAAGAGCCTTCAGGCTTGAAACCGTGATATTCCCAGGTGAGACGGGTAGTCCTTCTATGTCTGAGCATTGTGTCAGGTTGCAGTACTCCACCTGATATTGGGATTCATCGTATAATAATAAGGGGTTGCCACAGGATCTGATTCTTGTAGAAGTTTTGATTGGTTACTTGAATAAATGATAGTGAGTCACAAGAGGTAGCACACCTCGCGCACAGGAACCCACACTCTCTTACTTTAAAGGGAACAAGGTCATTCCTTGTGCCTTTCTAATATACCCATTAAAAGTACAATATGATTGCCACAAGCACGAATGGCTCTCAATCACTAATCCTCTCTGCACATTTCTCATACTTAATAGATTATTACTATTTTTGTAAATCTAAAGGAGCAAACGCTTCCTAGAGACACTGAGATAATGCATACACGTGGCCAAAACATGATCAGACTATTCTCCTTCTACCTTCTGCCCAATCCATCTCTCTGGAATAACTGGTATGCATTTTGACGCCTGTATTGTACATTGTTGATTCACACAAAAGTATCTGTATCTGTCTAGTTCTGTGTATCTTTCTCAGTAGTGCTTCATATTCTAAAGTGGGAGTTACAACTAACATGTAGTTCTTCCGAGAAAACATGGCATCCAGAGGGACAGCCTTTCCAGGTCAACCTTCCCATACTATATACTCAAAATGTAGTGAAAAGGCTCTACGTTTCACATGGAAACGCATTGTGCAAATACTGTTACTGTCTGTCATTCTCTCATTACGTGAGTCAAGTAGGTTTCTTTCTGCACGACTTCTCAAAGCTGCCCTGGAAAATTTGCTCCCAGGCAGGATGCAGTATCTCTAGAATGGGTTCCTGGGCACCTTCTCTTGCTCTCAATCTATCCTCTTCTACTGGCCCCAGCCACCCGGGACTGAGGAGCGGATGAGCTGAAAGAACAGTGGGACCCATGAAACAAGGAAGACGGCAGGGTAGATTACGAGATCTGAAGAGGTCGGACAGCTACGGAGGAGCAGAAAGCAATGAAGAAGGGGGCAAAGCAGGGGAGGAGCTAGCTGCAGGGATCTTGGCCATCTGGCCTTCCTTATGCCTCCCAAGAACATTGCTCCAACCTCTCAGTATCCTCACATTCGTGACCTGTGGCTGCCTGGAGAAAATGCAGGCATTCTGGGCCATGGGATCCACTCTCTCTCTAGAGAGACTCATAACTGTGGCTCCAGTCTCAACTCTCAGACCCTCCATTCCAGGAAACTGGTCTAATCAGCAACTGGATGTATAAGAGCCCGAGCTCTCAAAGACTTCTTTTCTTTCCCTTGGCTTCCTCTTGGAATGCATGATATTCTTATTATAATACAAAACTCAGAGCTCAAAACTTTGTGATTGCTCCAGGATTTGCAATATCCCTTTGAACCCACACAGTAACCTTTTATGAATATGACATACCATCGTGCATGAGGTAAGACACAGTGGTACACTTCACTATTACCTGCATGATTTATGCTACCTGTTCAACTCCTGTTACCTCTACATATGCTAAACTTAAACATAGTGCTATCATTCTGCTTCTGCCAGCCAACTCATTGAAAAAGACATAGAAATTTGATCAAGAAAACATTTTGCATTTACATCTATCTGGCTGCTTGTGAAGTGCTGGATTCAAGATATGTGTACTTAGAAAGTTCTCTTCTTCTATTCTTCTTCTATCTAATTCCTTCGGGTCACATCTCTTGTTACATAAGGCTGCTCATTCCAAAATCTGGCAGTTTCTGGATTCTCTGTTTGGGGCAGTGCACAATATGCATTTATCCAACATAGATCGTCATCAAGGCATTTTATTGCTGGATTCAGTATTCTCGGTTGATCTCTTCTGGTTCCAGATTATCATTTTAATAATATTCTGCATCCAGCTTCCAGTGTTTTTGAGGTGAACGCATTACAATTTGTATCACTGTACTCTAGGAGGACACAGCCCTTTTTCTTCTATTTCTCCTGAGAGATGCATCTTCGTATTATGCCTGCCTTGTAACCTCTTAACTGTGATGTATGGTAAAGTACAAAACACATGCTTTCTTCTGTTTGTTTGTTTGTTTCAAATTTATTTGATCCCCTAGAGTTTCAAGGAAACTGTGATTTTGTCAACGTTCTTCATAATTGAAAGTTACCAACTATCCCTGGATTCTGGTACTTGCTCAACCCAAACCATCCTTGTTTTTGTAATTTGTTTTTATTACGCAAGGCGGAATCCTTCACATTTTCTCAGATGTCTGTGGAGGCTCGGTTGATTTCGCATTTCACTATTATTTCAGGGGTGTCCTGTGTGTGAGAGAACTTGTGAGTTTTGGCGTGTATCCGTGTACAGGTGTGGTTTGAATTTGGGTGTGTGTGTCTAACTAGTTCTGCACGTTCTGTTGAATTGCTCTTTGCTAATTTTTCTTCTGAAATGTCTAACTTGATCAGGTGGCCATACAGTAATTTCTTCATTTAAGACATACTTGCTTTTATATTAGTTCTTTAATTTGATTTGGCTACTCTATACTGTTAATTTCTCTTCATACAATATCTTGTTTGTTTCATATTCATTTTTTTAATATTTGAAATCAGTTATACTGATAGCTAAATTTTCATGCAATTTAATCATTTCTGTCATTTCCTCAGCTCGTTTTCTCTCTTCGTTATGGATCAAGTATGAAATGCTTTCTTACATGTAGTCAACGTTTAAAATTAGGACTCACTCTTGGGATACCTCATAGCTGAGCCAATTGACTTTCGTTACCAGAAGAAACTTGAGATTTCTACTGGCAGTTCATTGACTTGGAATTCCATTTGACGCTTGACACTCACTTTTCTGTTATGCAAGGAGTTGCTGTCTGCAGCTGCCTGTATTCTAGGAAAATATTAATACCATTTTTAAATTATGGCTGTTCTGGGGTGTCCACGGACTCCGTGAACGTGTTCTGTGAGGACTTTCAACTAGCAGAACTGCAGGCTCCCCACAGTAAGTATGGATTTTGTCCTTGAGCTGATAAGTGAGAGCTCTTGTGGCTGTTTTCAGTAAATGCCCTTTGCCATACTCTCTGTGAAACCATCTTCTGTGCACATGCAGCATCATGTCAGGCCAACAACTGGAGGAGACTTCTACGTGTATTTGTAGAGCTCCTTTCCTCCACAAAACCAGGCTCCTATTTGTAGCAGACTCAGGAAAGTTATAGCCACTAGAGTCATCCTAATCTAATCTCTCCCCTACCTTCAGCAAGATGGCTAAGGGTCTGCTTGGGCTCCATCTCCTTGCTAGTCAGTGCAGGAAGGGTATCCAGGAAGAATGCCAAGGCATCCATGTAGTTGAGCTCATCATTGCCCTTCTCTCAATTCTCAAGTCCTCACCATCTTGTCCCACATGGAGAAATTATTTCTCCATGTCTTTCGTAATCGCTTGTGACCATAAATTGGCCCTTTGGGTGCTCAAGCACCCAGACTTCTGTCCATCTCCCATCCCTTTGCTTTTCAGCATCTGTCTCTTTGCTCACTCATCTGCCTTCTTGCCTTGGCTCTTCTCTTGCTGCGAACCCGTATCCCTTCAGCTACTGGTACTTAAGGCCGAGT